GACAGACAGTAGCAGATTCAAAAGGGTTCTGTCACCTCAAGTAATTAGTCCACTTTCTAAGGACTGTGTTCTATAATTCATATTACTCTTTCAGATATTAATAGTACATGTGGCTGAGTATGTGTGTGTCTCTGTGTACCTGTGGGACCCTCTCTTGTCACAAAACTTCAAGAGTAACATCATTTCAGGGCCTTTGTTATCTGTCCTAAAAATGGCTTATCTCAAGACTGAAAAGCTATTTCCTCAAAATAAAACAGCAGGATAGTCAATCCTTCCTGACTTCCTTCCATGTGATAACACTTCTTCTAGAAGGCTGGCATTGCCCCCAGTAGTTCTTTGTGACTAGAAACTGAGAATTTTGTCTTTGTGCAGGGCAAGGTTGAAGCTGAGTTCCACCTTGTTACGGCAGAAGAAGCTGAGAAAAATCCTGTTGGAAAAGCCCGAAAGGAACCAGAGCCCCTGGCTAAGCCCAAGTAAGTGAAGTCATGGGGGAGCATCAGAAACAGGAAAGGCCTTTTGTGGTCCTCATATCAGAGGATGAAGGCTTTCTCCAGAGGATCCCTCTGGGAGAAGTGAGAGATGAGGAGGCAGCCAATAGGTACCATCCAATCCATGTAGCTTTTTGTTTCTGTAATTGAAAAATATTCTAAAAGCATTACAGAGTCTGTGGCAAATGGAGAGGGCACATTTCTATAATACTAGCACATAAGCATTTCTAGAATAATTTCATAATTTTTTTCTACTAATTTTTTCATGTGCATGTGAATTTCCCATGAATTTTTTTTTTCTATTCTCTCTCTACTCATGCATACAAACTGTCCTCATGTTTCATTTATCCTTTGCTGGAAAATTTTGCTTCGTTGCCAGAGTTGTCAGAATTAGGATTTTTTAAATGGCTGTGGAATAGTCCATAGACTTGATGCCCATAATTGAGTCGGTTGCCACCCCATAACTGGATATTAAATTTACTTCAACCTTTTTCCGATTATTATAAGATAGTGAAAATGTTTCCTCTTTATAAATTACTTTAAAATAAAATAAATTTCTAGAAGTAGAATTACTAGCAGAAACAGTTACCCTATTCAAGTTAATCCATGGTTATATATCAGTTGAAAAGTAGACATATATAGATATGAAATATGTACACAAACCCTTTCAAATTATGTTAATTGTCGGAGCCTGCCAACAATCGATCAGGTCCAGAAAACCTGTGCTGCAGGACTGAGAAAGAAAGACAAGACTAAAAGGTGGGGTTGAGAGGGTCTCACTCTAGCCCGCAAGATGCTAGGTCAAGAGTGGACGACGAGTTTATTTCTTGCAGTTAATTTATATGATTTTAACCCATTAGCTCATACATTCCTGCATGTAGGCAAAGGTATTGTTTTAAGGCACATTAACAACGTGTACTAAAATCATTAACTTGTATATTGTTACAGACATCATTATTGTTTACAGTTCTCGTAAAACTAAGATTAAGAGTTCCTGGAACCAAGATGATAAACTAAGGCATTGTTCCTCTAAGCTAACATCGTGACTCGTGTACTATTATCTCAGGTGATTGTTCTTCAGGCTAAGATCACTAACTTGCATGCCGATTGTATCTCTCCTTCCAAAGGTCCTTAGTGACTTGATAGCTCAGGATGTTCCTTCAGGCCTTAATGCACCTGGCACATTCCTCAAAGGGGTGGCGGGACAGAGATTGTCCTTGAGAGATCAACCTCAGAGCCTGACGCCCTGCACTGTGGGAGTTTAGGCCCAACCTCTGTGCTCGGCAGTCCTCAGGTCATGAGTGGCCCCCCACATTAATCTTATGCCTCCCTGGATCCCAAGTGTCTCATATGAGTGAGTGGCCCTTCTCTGTACTTCCCTTTCATCTGTCATAATTTTAGGAACATAATGGGTACTTCATTAATTCAAAATTTATTAAGCTGCTGCAATGTGTACCTCCTCAAAAAAAAAAAAAACCACCCAAGAAATATAAGACATAAATTCTGCTTTCCAGAAGCTTTCAGTTTAGGGAGAACACATAGACTCATAAAATAATTATCAGAGTGTGGAAGACAAATATGGTAGGTTCAGAAAGGAGTTAAGTCAAGCGATCGGTGAGATAGGAATTCAGAAGAGGGGAATCGTTACAAACTGGGGTGATCAGCACCGGCTTCATGGAAGCAACGGGGCTTGAGCCAGACAGGGTTGGACAGACAGAGGGCCCTCAGACCTCTGGCTGGGTTCTAACTAGACTCTCGCCCTCCTCCAGACCAACCTTTAAAATGATGAGAAATCATCATCACTCACAGTGTTAGCCTGCTTCTGCTTCAAGGCACCTCCCATTCCCAGGCCTCTCTTTGTGGCCTCCCAGAAAGCAGGTGTCGGAAGTACTTCCTGAGGTCTTGAGATTCCTATGTATTGACAACACGGCCCCTCCCATGTTCTTCTCTTGCTTTCTCCTCAGCCGCCCGGACACCTCCTTCTCCTGGTTCGTGAGCCCCTTCAAGTGCCTATACCACCTTATCTGGAGGAATTACAAGAAGTACATCATCATCGGTTTCATTCTGATCATCCTCATCATCTTCCTGGTCCTCTTCATCTATACCTTGCCTGGAGCCATCAGCCGCAGGATCGTCGTGGGCTCATAGAGAGATGGGAAAGGAGCAGTCCCTTTCTACTCCAACCTCTGCCACCATCTTTCCAATTTAAAAGCCTTAAGTCATGTTTTTCCCCACAGGCAGCATAAAATCATGGTTCCTTCACCCCAGAGTAATCAATGGTGACCTCAAATTAACCCAGATGAATGTTTTCTTTATGTAATTGGTTTTATTCTGAGAAGTTTAATTCTGGGTCTGAGATTTTATTAGAATTACTTTCCTTTAAATAAAATTTTTACTGCAAATAGTCTGAAACTATTTTAGCAAGTTATTAGATATTTAACCTGTGCCATATATGTAAACCTTGTTTGATCCTTACACTTTACAGAACACATTCACTTATTCAGGCGGAGAAACTGGCTTGGAGAAAATTTTATATAAATTACCTAAAATACTTGATTGTTGACATTTCCATCTAGAGATGAGATGTTGCTGGCTTTCCATTAAAATAAATGCTTCTAGAATGTACTCAGTAGCAGTAGTGAGTTCTGGAGAAATCCCTTGGAATTTATGCTCTATGGCAATTTCCAAGTGGGGATTTTAGGAATATGAAATATGATTTTGTGTATGGGATAGGGAGCCCTGTGGTACTAGTAATAATTCTCTTTAGCCAGATATATAGTCTTCACCAAATATGGTGCTCCCCAGACCGTGACAGGAATAACCATCCTTGGCACTACTCAACACTTAGTCTTACCACCATATGTGGTAGGTTCCATCATGACTCTCAAGCATAAATTAATTTCAAAAGCAGTCTTCTTAGAAACAGTCTCCTGGATTTCCAGTCAAAATGGTGGACTGGACACGAGTTCACCTCTCCTCATGACTACAATAAAACCACAACTGACTACTAAACAACCATTGGAAAAAAAGACTGGAACCTAGCAAAAAAAGATCTTCTTCAACTGGAAATATAAAGAGGCAACCACAGCAGGACAGTAGAAGAGGCATGCTCATGATATAATTGGGCCCCATGCCCCCCGGGTTGGCAACCCACAAGCTGAAGAATAATTAAGGTGCAGAGGCCCTCCCACAGGAGTGACAGTTCCGTGCTCCATGTCAGGCTCCCCAGCCCAGGGTTCTGAAATTGAGAGGAGGAGACCTGAGAACATCTGGTGTTGAAAGCTAGCTAGCCTTAATTCCAGGAGCCTCATGGAACTGGGGGAAACAGAGACTTCACTCTCTTGGGAAGCACACACAGAATCTTGCACACACTGGGTCTGAGGGCAGAGGCAGTGATTTCATAGGAACCTAGGCCAGACCTGCCTGCTGGTTTTGGAAGGTCTCCTAGGGTGGTGGGGGGGGGTGGCTGTGGCTCACCCTGTGGACACAAAAGCTGGTGGCAGACATTTGGGGAGAGTTCATGTACATAAACTTTCCTGGAGGCTGACAAGTTGCTTGGGTTATTAGCCCCACCCAACAGCCTGGAGGCTTACAAGCTGGGAAGCCCCAGGCCAAACAACATACTGAGTGGGAATGCAGCCCCACCCATCAGCAGACTTCCTAAGCCACCTCTAGACACAGCCCTAGGCATGGCCTATAAAGCATTCCATCCAAAAGCAACAGAACACACATTCTTCTCTAGTGCACACAATCACATGCTGGCTCACAGAGCAAGCCTCAGTAAATTTAAAAAAATTGAAATCACACCAAGCATCTTTTCCAACCACAACACTATGAGGTTAGAAATCAACTACAAGAAAAAAACTGCAAAAACTGCCAATACATGGAGGCTAAACAATATGCCACTAAACAACCAATGGATCACTGAGAAATCAAAGTTGAAAAATACTTTGAGACAAATGAAAATGAAAACACAAAACCTCTGGGACGCAGCAAAAGCAGTTCCAAGAGGGAAGTTTACAGTGATACAAGCCTATCTCAGGAAACAAGAAAAATCTCAAATAAGCAACCTAACCTTACACCTAAAGCAGCTAAAGAAAGAACAAACCAACCCAAAAGCTGGTAGAAGAAAAGAAATAAAGATTAGAGCAGAAACAAATGAAATAGAGACTAAAAAAAAAAAAAAAAAGAAAAAGAAAAAAAGAAAGAAAAGAAAAAAAATCAATGAAACTAAAAGCTAGTTCTTTGAAAAGATAAACAAAATTGATAAACTTTTGGTCCGACTCATCAAGAAAAAAAGGGAGAGGGCCCAAATTAATATAATCAGAAATAAAAAAGAAGTTACAACCGACACCACAGAAATACAAGGGGTCATAAGAGGCTGCTATGAGCAACTATACGCCAAAAGGACAACCTAGGAGAAATGGACAATTTCTTAGAAAGGTACAGCTTGCCAAGACAAATACAAGGGGTCATAAGAGGCTGCTATGAGCAACTATACGCCAAAAGGACAACCTAGGAGAAATGGACAATTTCTTAGAAAGGTACAGCTTGCCAAGACTGAATCAGGAAGAAAGAAAATAAGAATAGACCAATTACCAGTACTGAAACTAAATCAGTAATTTTAAAACACCCAATAATGAATATATGCATGTATATGCAAGACTGGGGCATTGTGCTATACACCACAAATTGACACATTGCAACTGACTGTACTTCAATTAAAAAAAAAGAAAAAAAGAAAAAGAAAAACTCCCAGCAATCAAAAGTCCAGGACCAGATGGCTTCACAGGTGAATTCTACTAAACATTTAAAAAAGAGTTAGCATCTATTCTTCTGAAACTATTCAAAAAAATTGCAGAGACAGGAACACTTCCTAACTCATTCTATGAGGCCACTATCACCCTCATACCAAAAACAAAGATAGCACAAAAAAAGGAAAATTACAGACCAATATCACTTATGAATACAGATGCAAAAATCCTCAACAAAATACTAGCAAATCAACTCCAACAATGCATTAAAAGGATTGTACACCATGATCAAGTGGGATTTATCCCAGGGATACAAGGATTTTTCAATATCTGCAAATCAAAACAACGTGATACACATTAACAAACTGAAGAATAAAAACCATATGATTATCTCAATAGATGCAGAAAAAGCTTTTGATAATATTCAACATCCCTTTTTGATAAAAACTGTCCAGAAAGTAGGCATAGAGTGAACATACCTCAACAAAATGAAGGTCATGTATGAAAAGCCCACATCATACTCAGTGGGAAAACCTGAAAGCATTTCCTGTAAGATCAGGAACATGACAAGGATGCCCACTCTCACCACTTTAATCAACATAGTTTTGGAAGTCCTAGGCATAGCAATCAGAGAAGAAATAAAGGGAATCCAAATCAGAAAAGAAGTAAAATTGTCACTGTTCACAAATGACATGATACTATACATAGAAAACCCTAAAGAAGCAATCAGAAAACTACTAGAGCTCATCAATGAGTTTGGTAAAGTTGCAGGATACAAAATTAATATACAGAAATCAGTTGCATAAGAAAGAAATTAGTGAAATAATACCATTTACCATCTCACCAAAAAGAATAAAATACCTACGAATAAACCTACCAAGGAGGCAAAGAACCTGTACTTTGAAAACTGTAAGATACTGATGAAAGAAATTGAACACAACATAAACAGGTGGAAAGATACACTGTGTTCTTGGATCGGAAGAATAAATATTGTTAAAATGGTCATACTACCCAAGGCAATATACAGGTTCAATGCAATCCATATCAAATTACTGATGACATTTTTCACAGAGCTGGAACAAACAAACCAAAAAAACCTTAAAATTTGTATGGAAACAAAAAAACCCAAATAGCCAAAATAGTCTTGAAGAAGAACAGAGCTAGGGAAATCACACGCCCTGACTTCAGACTATACTACAAAGCTGCAGTATGGTACTGGCATAAAAACCAGACACATAGATCAATGGAACAGGATAGAAAGTCCAGAAATAGACCCACACACTTATGGTCAATTAATCTATGACGAAGGAGGCAAGAATATACAGTGGAGAAAAGACAGTCTCTTCAACAAGTGGTGCTGGGAAAACTGGACAGCTACCTGTAAAAGAATGAAGTTAGAACATTCTCTAATACCATATACAAAAATAAACTCAAAATGGATTAAAGACCTAAATGTAAGGCCAGATACTATAAAACTAGAGAAAAACATAGAATACTCTTTAACATGAACCACAGCAATATTTTTTTTTCAAACCAGCTCCTAGAGTAATGAAAATAAAAGCAAAAATAAACAAATGGGACCTAATAAACTTAAAAGCTTTTGCACAGCTAAGGATACCATCAGCAAAACAAAAAGACAACATACAGAGTGGGAGAAAATAATTGTAAATAATACAATTGACAAGGGACCGACTTCCAAAATATACAAACAACTCATATAACTTAATACCAAAAAAACAAGCAACCCAATTAAAAAATGGGCAGAAGACCTACAAAGACATCTCTCCAAAGAAGGCATCCAGATAACCAACAAGCACATGAAAAGATGCTCAACATCACTAATTGCTAGGACGGAGAAGATGGCTGAGTAGAAGGACGCTCGTAAGTCACCCTCTCCCACAAATACACGAAGACCCACATCTACAGACCCACTCAGCCAACCAGAGCACCTGCGGAACTCCGACAGAACATCGCCCTCTTCAAAAGATAAAGACGCCAAAAATCTGGTAGGAGAAAAGGAAAAAAGAGAGAACAAAAGGCAAAGCAGCGCGGGACGGGTCCCGCGGAGAGGGAGCGGCAAAGGAGGACTGGCGCTCGCTCGCTGGGTCTCCCCTCTCCAACTGAGAGGCCAGCGGGACGGAGGGGGCGCCTCCGAGGCTTGGATCTGTACAGAGAAGCCCTTGTCTGACAGAACTAAGTTAAACGGGCACAGAGCGTCCCCCCGACGCCCAGCCTGAGACGCGGGCCGGCGGCGGCAGCGGGCAGGGCCAGGCTGCACTGGC